TTTTGATTGACTGTTTGCAGTCTTTTTAGTTGTTCGTGGTGAAACTGTTTATTCATACTTGTGATTTTCTATTGTTCATTTTAATGAGGAATAATTGATCAGCCTTTATCAGGATACGAACTGGTTGAATGGTCATCTGGATATTGGCCTTACCTTCATTAAGATGCTATTTTGTTGTTGATATCTCTAGAATTAAAATCCAAAATACGTTTTTCTTTCTGTTTAGTACTCTTCAGTTGCAGTTCCCTGCACCCATGATGATGCTGTGACTTAAACCCGGATGTGGAATTCACCCTAAAGCATCCTTCTTTATATCACTTCCTCCTTGTTCACACTTGTAGTATCTTCAGAATTCAAGTAAGTTAGTCAGTCAGTCAGAATTAACACGGAACCTGGTATTAATGGGTAACGGTCTAGGTTACCAAACCTCATAAGAACGCATCAATTGATGGGACATCCAAATGAAAGATGAAAAAGTAAGAAAGAAAGCAATCTGGAGTGGTAAAAATCATGAAAAGAGAAAAGTTTGTAATGAAACGACTACCAAATTCGGTATGATTACTATGATGAAGGTAATATATGGATTCATTTGTGCCACTGAGATCATTTCTGGGCCATATCGTGCACAGGCTTCAACCATCGATTGCAGTTGTCTCCTAGACCCAACCGGAAAGTTTACACTCTCCTGCACGGTTCAGATTAACAGTTAGTAACTTGATGAACTTATGTCACGTTTTAGTTTGACTGTTTGTAAACTTCATCCAGCCTGAAACTACGTCACGTGTTAGATTTTAAAATGAAGACAACGGTGGTCAGTTACCTGAAGCCTACTCATGTTCCTTTCCTTTAATGGCTATGATTCATTGTCACATTGTAGAGCAGAGAGAAATGCAGCACATAACACTTGGCTCCTAATAGACAGTTGTATATCCTCTAGTATCAAAAGTGGCGAAAGTTGGCAAAAGATAAGCTGCCCCTTTACACCTATTCAGAGATTTTGATGATCATTGATCACTGAGGGCTGATCGGACTATCTACGTTAGCAGGTGGTCAACGCACTCAACCACTTTACTACCTAATGCCAGACCCAGCTCCAACGCAGATCATTCCTAGAGTAACAGTTTGGATTTGGGTCACGAGAAACGCATCCCAGACAATCTCAAACCTCCACTCAAAGTGTTATGAAGACTCTGAACCTTTTCGGCATTCTCACCTAACCGGAATGTGTCATCTGTGTATTCTAGCTCTACCAAGCATTCTCCTGTAATAATATCAATTCATGTGAAGTTAGACAACGAGTCGGAAACCACCATAAGTTTGTCTTTGGTGAATTTGAATAAGAATGGAGAAAGTGGACATCGTTGGTGGACCCTAGTAGATGTACACGAGTACCACATACTCTCACATGCCCAAAGACTTTTGAGTTAATAGCCTTCGACAAAGTGATTTACATGCTCAGCAGCCAAATCAGTGAGCGATGTTGGCATAAGACATCTGGGTCAACAGAGGCAAACAGCGCTTTCGGATGGGGAAGTACATTTAGCACTGAGTGCCGGTAAGTGTGCCTGTGTTCTGGAACCTGATGGAGAGTGAATATCTGGTCGATACACTCACCACTAAGTCTGAAGCCTGTTCACCTACTTTTTGTTGGGTTTGCTATTCACTAGAATCTTAGACACTATGTTCATCAGGCTGATTCCTCTGTGCTTATTACGGAAGGATTTATTGTCTTCCTTGAAGATTGGGACAGTTAGTGGTCGAAATGATTCAGATAGGTGATGTCTGATTCCTGTACACCGGCTAAGACTTCAATCAATACAAATAAAAGTCCTCTGCTGGTGTCCTTAAATACCTTTGGTACTAGCCCATTTACTCTCTCTTTTTTCAGATAACTTATGGCTTCTTCAATCAATACAAGATTAAGCGGGTCTACCTCAGAGTTCCATTCACGAAACGAATGGATAGCAGGCAACTGAAAACTTCTAAACCTCTTCGAAGATAATGCAATATGGTCAACCTTAGTCCACAGTCGAGTTTTGTAGGTGGATGGTACGCCACACCTAATCTCTCTTCTTATCTGAGGTTTATATTAGACAAAAATAGGTGACTGTTTAATCACATTTGTTACAACCAGTTGCCATTACTCCTTCGTTCGTTTGCAACTTCAAAAGTGCAATACGAGAGCTTTTCTGAGTGGTTATAGAAATATGGTACACAGGTAAATACATGGAACGTAATGTGCCAGCTGAATTTTGTGCTGGTCACAGCTGAATAGATTTATTACCTTTGGTGGTAGATGTTAGATTTCATTCAGCTGGAAGACGTGTCCCAGTTAGGTATGGTGCTTGTTGGCAGCCATATGCAAGGCAGCTGTACACTAAATGCAAATGAGAGACTGGTGTAATGAGTTCATTGCTGAGGATTAGGGATAAGGCAATTACATCGGTTGTATTCAAATAAATAGTTAATGTGAATATCGTGTTATTTTGGTTACATATTTTTTGTCTGAGTAAAATTTAACTTTAATACTAAGACATATGACTAATTCAGTAAGTCGATACTTTCTCATTCGATTATTGGTTCATTTGAAGGTCTGTACTTTTATGTAGTCAGAAATACTGGTTAAACTCATGAAACGACCGGTCGAGTTAGTAACCTACAGTCAAAAGTAAGTATTTTATCTCGTATAGAGACATGTTTTTTCTATTTAATTGTTACGTTTTGGAAAATCAGTTAACCTCGGAGAATTTCACCTACAAACTTGTTTTTGTGTGTAACAGCCATTCGGTTGCAAGGCCAGATAAATTCAGTTAACTAGGTATCAAGTCTGTATTTTTTTTCCATATCATGCACATACGTAACAAGATAATATCGGACTTAGTTGATTTCATAAGATTATATTCTCACTATAACGTGGAGTCTCTTAGTGGAGGTCTATTCAAGTAGTTGGTTTTGGATAACTGACTGGTTTCAAGATGACTTTAATCATGGACTAAAATCATTTGAAAAACCATTAAAAATAGGAGTATTGGAGGGCTTTTGTGTTCTAGGTTAAAACTCCCTAGATGGATGTACCAATGATCCTGTGAGGGATTAAATCTAGAACTGTAAGGTTTCGTGGTGAGCAAGCTAACATTCAGTGACCTACATAGTCAACCAAGTTAGGAATGAGGACTGATGCCCATCTGTGACAGTGGGTGAATGTTCATGAATGAATTCATGATATAATGTATGTTGATACAATGCATTTTAGTCTGTTTATTAGAAATATCATACAGTGAAACAGTAGTATTTACTAGATAACTTTTCGGACACAATTTATTGTTCATATTCATATCAGGTAGCTCCACAACTTCAAGGCAGAGTTAATATATTCCTAATTTTCTCTTCTTCTCTGTGATGATAACGGTAGTAGAATCTTCCATATATCTGGGACAGGTGCAGAATCATTTCGATTGCATGTTGTATTCAGCATTGATTTCATCAACAAAGATTCGGCTATCGATCTTACCCTCCACCCAACTAAGTTAGTTTTTAAAGCTATCGCTCTATCCCACCCCACTACGCTATTGTGTGTAATTGCGTGCAGAGCTATAGCTGAGCTTTTTTCTACATTTCTCATCTTATTAGGATCTACTAATTTTGATTTAGCTAAGTTTTTGTGTTCTGTTATTCTAATCGACCCAGGTCGACTACTTTCTCTTATGTATTTGACCTCGCGATCATTGTAAGGGATCTGGTAAACCAGATTATTTTGCTCAGTTGCATCGATAGGATGTTTTAACCTACAAAGCTTGTTTCTAAGCGAGTTTGTTGGTTAAAATGCCACTTTAATCCCAGCCTTATTGACAGTTCTTTGTAATGCTTGTGAGGTGCATTCATTGTATGGTAACACAGCAGAGTCTTTGAATTCTCTCTCAACCCTGTCACCATTATTATTGTTGGTAGTAGAATCATTATTGATAACACCTGTATTATTACTACTATTACCACTACTAATGCTAATATTTTTCTTCCGATTTCTTATGAATTTATTGATAAATTTAGGTGGGTAATCACTGAGACTCAAGGTATTCTTGATTTGTTTAATTTGTTGTAGTAGGTTTACTGGTCTGGTAATGATACAGTAGAACCCAGGCACTAAATATAATATGACCTGCATCGGATATTACAGCAATGGGTGCTAGCTGTAGAGCATTTTTACCCAGTGGTCTCACATTTTCACTGGTTCTTCAGTTCATTAAGTGTACCTTAAGGTCTCATTTGTAGTGTTAAGTGAGTCTTACGTGTAGAATGACCACCATATATATTTTTAGAAAAAGAATATGAAAAGGGACCGCGGCTTAAGCCTCATAAGCCTCCTTTTACATTTTCCTTATACTGTCTTCCTCTCATCGTACGATTAGCCACTTAGATTCGACGAGATAATCTACTGACATTGCATTCTGTCCTTCCGTTGTTGAGGAATTCCTTTGCCAATTTCATTTGTAGGGAACTTACTTAGATACTTGTAAAAAGGTGCTGAGAAGTGAACCATATCGAAATCACTATTTTAAGGGATTGAACGCTGAATAAGAAATTCTTAGGCTTCAGTGTTTTGTCTATGCTTTTTTTCGGTGAGTATAATCTCAGTGAACAGTTTGACGAACCAGAATAAAGTAGTTGTTTATCGTCCGTCAAAGTTACAGGCCAACCTTCACCTTCGGACATATTTGTGGCTAAGTGAAACACAACCGAGAGAGAGTAGTTCTTGACTTTGACTTACCATTCTTCTCAGTCACTGTATACTTGGTACATCTAACCTAGGAGTCACGTAAGTAAATCATAGATCTTTCTCATCACACAGGCTGAAAATCAAGTCAGAGACTGAAATAGAACGTTTTAGAAAGACCAGCGGAGAAAGAAAGAAGTATTATTTCAAATATGGTCTGCAGTTACATTCAGTTACCCATATAAACAGTAGTATGAAACGTGAAGCTCTGATGTGGTGTCGGAAATGAATGAGACACTTTAGGATATCTTCTATCTGTCGGGAGTTATCAAAAAGACTTTGTCGTAAACAGGGTTCATCAGATATGGGGAACATTTTGAAATACTCTTCGTCTAACCAGTCAAAGAGTGAACAAAATTCTAACATTGGCTGTACAACTCTGGGCATAGTTTGGAAAAGTATGTTTCGGAAGAATCTAGCGAGGTTAGTGACAACAACTCCAGTATTTATTTTCATAGTTTATTTAAAATTTTATAACTTTGAAGTTAATGTTTTTTAACTTTTTCTGTCATATGTTATATCTAGTAGTGCATTATCCCCTCACTTCTCAACGATGCTTTCTTATTTTTTGGAAATTGGTCACTAAACCAAAAAAGGTGTTATTCAGATTGTTACGATCAGATCTATCTTCAACCTCTTCTCAACTGTTAACCATCCTAATTTATAAGGAAGAAAGAAATACCCAGTTTCGAGTTATATACAAGAATCTGATTCATAAAAATGCTGGGAAAATTCATGTGTATCAAATATTATGGACCATTTAAATTTATTGCACTTTACACTTAGGATTAGTTTAAACAAGCCACTCACGCTTTGTTCTTGAAAGTCTCTTTTAGTAACTTTACTAAAATATTTTGTGTTTCTCAGTCAAACACTTTGAATCGCAGTAATAATTCACCACTCGAGAGCCTGCCTTGTCGTTCTGTATTACTTAAGAAGGATTGTGGTTCACTTGTTACTGAATTCTCAGGTGGTTGACACTCATTTCAAGTTTTGCTAATTTTACATTTGAAAATCTGATGCCATAATAAATGTTGGCATTTTAGCTTTATTTTTATTTATTTAACAGGTCATATACTACTGATTGATACAAATTATTCATGAGGAGTTATAGAAGTTACAAGTGATGAGTAGCCAGCTAGATTTGATGGATCTAGATATGAACGAGCATATGGCCTATTTTAAGCAAGCGATTCCTTCCAACTTAGATCAAGATACAAAGTTTCGACTAGTCGGTATTGTTTATCTGACCCAAATCACTTTATTTGAACCGCAACTGAATTCAACAACATAGTGATAAAATATCTGTGTTTTTAGAATGTCTGTTGTTCTTGCCTAAAGGGTGAGCATCACTGAACGATCTCTGACTGCTTACATTATCCAGCAGCATATATTGTATGCCTCACGCCACTAGTGTTGTCAGATCAATGAAATATTATGATCAGAAAAAAACGCTTCTCAACGAAGCCACAACTGCTGTTGAATTTCACCAAGCAACTTAGCTCTTCATTTTGAATCGGCAAAATCTGCTATTACTTGAAACGTTCCCTAATTGGCACTCAATAAACGGGAATTCCCTGTCAGCTGAGCTAAATCGTACAAGACGATATGAAGGAAGTCGAAGTCACTGAAAAAGTGTCTTCTAATTTTATCTAGGCATATTCCCATTTTTATGAAGAGCATTCGCGATGAGTGGCTGTTGAAGAAAATTGTCATGTTCCGGTAGGTCAGTCACTTGGCTGATAAGATTCTGCGATATTGTCAAGTCAGGTGATATAGGCTGTGAGCTCAGCAGACATACGCATCACCAACTTAAGTGTATGGAATTTAATGAGGTATGAGAGGAGGGGAGGTGGTCTCACAGGGACCAAACTGTTGCATTGAGCTCCTGAGGTATCGATTAACCAGTAGATCTCTTTGCAGAAGAGTAAGGTTTTTGACTCAGTTCATCAGGACAGCAGAATTCAGTTAGTTTAGGAACTAGAAGAAATCGTTCGGAATAAAAGCCCATGGGTACAGAAACTTTCATTACCCACCTTTCTTCAAACATTAAAACTAGTAATATTTTTCTGTTTTTATGTCGCCTGTTTTCTCCTCTAAAGTTTCTGTCAATTTTATAGTCTCAAAATGCCTGTTTAAATTTACTAATACTTTAGGTATACAACCGTTCTACACGAACTTGGATGATATGGACCGAAGCTTTTCTTTCTGCTTTAACAGAAGTTGGTGTTCTGAATTCCTGTGAACGATGTTGTATGAAATGATTCACTAGATGAAATCAAAATTATTCATCTTTGCGAAGATACTGAAATATTTTCCGGAAGATCGATATCAAACTTGAGAAGTAGACACATTGTGCTTGTCAGTAAAATGAACAAAAGAAATGATGCATCGAATGTTAAACAGTGATCAAGTAGCGGTTTGTCAGAAATGACAGCTAGACAACTGAATTGTTAGTTGTTTTTTCGAAGTGAGTTGTGGATCAGATGTACGTTTTTGTCTTTGGCTGTCAGTGTGGTTCATCATCCCCCTGCTACCGTTTTACTATAGCTAATAGTGATCAGTTCTAGGAAGAGTTTTATTGATTGTCGGATTAGTTGGTATTGATGTGATTTGCAACTGTTCGTTAATCATGACTTATCCAAATATCTCAATATTAATCAGAAGTGACACGTACCATAAAATGTGGTTAGTGGACTGATTTATGATTACATTGTATCCAGCCAACGTTATTTCACCTTCACACCAAAATACAGTACACCACAGTGTCTCATCACTTCACTAAGAGGCCACATTAGAAGACTTGACCGATAGACTTTGAGCGGTGCTATGCTCTAAGAAGTAGACAGCTAAACGATTCATTCCTATAGCATAATAGTCATGCCTTGAGTAGCTCAGTGGTTGAGTCTCCGACTTCGGCACTGAGTAGTGCAGATTCTAATCACAGGGAGGACAGCAGTAACGTCATCTTGGCAAAAACACCTTGTTACTGAGTGCCTACAAGCACGAAAGCTAAGTCGAGATGGGCTATCCTGCCAGTAGACTCACTACATCTAACAATAACCCTAATTCAACAAACTGATCTTGGTGTGAGAGGATAATGGTACATGGCAGGAAATAAACTGGATTTTGTACCCGTTTATCAGGTAGCCAAAAGAAGATGAAAGGCAGTCGCAGATTATTAACTTAAAAATTAGTTTAGGAGCTGAAAAATCCATTTTTTTTTCTAACCAGTATGGTAAGTGACTCAGGATAAACGAATCTTTCCAGCGTTGACTTCGGTATCAGCTAGGCATTGTAGAGGTAAGCTTTCAAATAGTAACTCTTGCCAACAACTTTTTCACAGCAGTGAGACGTCTAAGTATACTCGGTGCATGAAAATATTTCTACGCATGAGTGATGGAATACAGAAATCGATAAAAACTATAAGATCAAGTCCTTCCTTCATCATAATATGGTAAATACTGCATTCTCGTCAATGGAGTATGCCACTTCACAAGTAATCCGTGCTTGCTGGCTTCTTCTGATTGATTGATTAGCTAACTGTATTCTTCGCTACGTCTATAAGCACAAAGTGATTTGTCTTTGACAAGACTTTTAATACTGGTAGGAGTTGACGTGGTTTCAGACATTTTTAGCTTGTGGTCCAGATATTCTTGTACAACTATTTGACCTTGGATCCCTATGGTTAGAAATATCGCCATAAATCTTAATAGTGTTTTGAGTGCATCTTCACAAGGAAATAAAGTTGTTGTATGTATCATTAGTATCATTAGTACTCAGTGTTACATTGAACTGAAAAGATGAAGTATATCTGTTTCACTCATAAGATTTGTATTTATCTTTCTGTAGATTCATGCTACTAACCCATTATGGCCACGCTTACATTCCGAGTTAGTTCACAACGAAATGGAGCTGTGAACGTGTGCCGATTGATAGGATGGATACATGTGTTATGCGTGATCATTTACCATCCCCACCGTAACTAGAAAAGTTAGTTGGTGTAGAAATGAAGATTGAAAACGTTTATTGTGATCAGGTCAAGATTCACATCATGTTGGCAGAGATGGATTCATCTTTTATTTCCAGAGTCACGAAAAACTTGTTAATCTTCGTTTCGATTCTTTGTCTACCTGGATTTCCTTCATTTTATCACACTTTTAATTGTATTTCCAGCCAGCATTGATCACGTACTGATGTCAGTTTATGAACCATTGGAAACCTGAAATCACCAAGCAGCTATTTCGTCCCAATCTGGGACTTCTCAGAAAAGCGCGCTCATAAAACCAATGACAAATCGCAATTGCCACAAACCGAATTCCATTTTCATCTATTCTCTCCTCTGATGCTACTACTTAATGTGTCAAACTTAACCTCTGATATCTTGCAGAATGTCTTAGTTTGTTTTTCTTATTAGCCTGAAGATACGTTGTCTCGCATTGAGTCAAATGCATAGCTTTATGATTCTTGCTATCCCATATCCTAGATCTCGAAGCCTATGGTCAATTTACTCTAGTATCTGTTACCAGTAATAATCTAGCAAGCTTTTCTTGATTCGCCTAGATCTGCTATCGCTTCAAAAGTGCCATATCCAGGTGAAAAAATGCCAACAGAAACCGCCGACAGGACGAGTTCAAGGATTAATCGAGTGATTTAAACCAAAGTAGGCCAGATTTATGTAAGCAGGACGTTTTAGTCGACCGACTACGCGCTTGACCTAATCCTCTCCCACAGACATTTCGAATTTCTTTGTGAACCCTCCCCTAAGACGTTGCCTAAACTAAGGTGGAAGGTTCATGAAGGCAGATAAACAGTTGAGTGTTCTTCCTGTCAAATTTTGTTTCTCATCTTGATATTAAACGTATTTGCACTCAGTATCCAACCTGTGTTCATGTAGGCAGAAACGGGTAGTTCACGTTTTTGGGGGCTTGTGAGGATTTATAGATTTCAAGTTGGTATTCATCATAGACTGATATCAGCTGAGAGAAGATTGGAAACCTGGGAGCACTGGGCAGCTGTTTCTTTATAGTATGGACTCTTCAGCAATGCTCACCAACGACCCTACCGGGGACCGAACCCAGGATCTTCAGGTTCGTGTCCAGCAATCTACCACTGAGCCACTGGGTCAGAGTCCAGTGGTCCCTGGAGGGTTTATGGGTGTGCACCTCTGAGGAGTCCCGTTCCAGGACAAAACATATGTCCAATGCTCCCAGGTTTCCAATCTTCCTTCAGCTGATGTCAGTCCATGACGAATACTAACTAGAAATGAGTACTGCAGTCAATATGCTGAAATTATTGATGCTTATTCTGAATTAATATTCCCCGAAGGCTTTCTTCTTCAATATAAGAGGAAATAACCACAAATATTTACCATTTATTCCAAATAGGATCGTGTGAA